AAAAAAAAAAAAAAAGAAAAAAAAGAAAGCAACATAGAGTACCTTAATTTAATTTTATTTTTAAATTTTCATTTATGAGATACCTTAATTTTAGAATAGGTTTCCTTTTAAGAACAGTAATAATTTCAAACAAGAAATACATTAACAACAACAAAAAAAGTGAACATAAAAGGAATGGCAGTTAAACATCCAAAGGATCTATTTCTTAACTTTGAAATATATTTTTATTACTATACATTCAATTTTTAGAAGTTTCAAGTGGCTGTGGAGACAAGAGCAAGAAAGAAAATGTGGCTGCAGATATCCCAATCACAGGTAAAGCCATGGCTGTATAAGAGTTTCAAACACAGAATTTAGCATTTTTATATAATCAGAACATTTTTGGTTAGTGGTTTTTGGACCCCACTAAGAGCAAGTATATTCAGCTACTGCATGCTGGAGCAGGAGATTAATCATAAGGGCAGAACGTAAATGCTTATGTTAACATAAACTAAGGTGGAAAATCACCGTGTCTATTGAATTCTTCCTCACCATGTTATATATTTACATCTGTAACATCCTCCAGCATGCACCCTTTCAGCACCTGCGTCTGTGTGAAAAGGTCCATCTCCCTGGGGAACACCCAGTCATTACATAGCAAACTATAGATGTGTCTGATTTTATTCTTTTTTTTCCTGTTGTAATTGAATATGTATATTAAAATAAGAGCAGGAAATTTTTTTTTAAATGCCAGATAGGAAGCTTGCGTTTGCCTCAGTTACAAAGCCTGTCTGATAATTTAAAAATTGTACCAATCAGCCTTCATCAAGACCTATTAAGATTTCTGCACATGTATTAGGCTTTTTAAGGTGGAATCTGAATGATATCATTATTTTTTTTCTTTTTAGAATAGCAACAGCAGCAATTAGTATTCTGTACAGAGTTCTATTTGTCATACATCTGAATTTACTAGTACCTTATTTTGTAAAGTGGTGTACTACTTCATTATAAATTCAAAGGTCTGACTTTAAATATTTATACAAGTAAATACACCATTGCACCAAGGTACTGAGGCATGCATCTGCATATGTGGTAGTTTTGTTTTTGTTTATAAGCAGAAAAGAATGACTTGCTTTTATGGCAGTGCAGTTCCTGGCATGATGATTAATTTTTTAAACTCATGTTTCTGTGATGAACTCTGGTTTTGAAAATGGAGTTTATGGTGGAACAATTATTGTATATATTATGCATCCAGATAATATTTCACTCCAAAATGCAGGTGTTTTTTTATAATTTTAAACATTTTCCCCAATGCTGTGTTTATTGTGTTTTTAGTTTTCATTTTCAGAAAAATCTGGTATGGTTCCCTGTTATTTTTATTAATAGAAATATAGATGATCCCAAACTACAGATAACCAAGAAGTCATTTGGATGCTTTTCCCTTGCATTTACTTTTGGATGCAGAAGTATCTAATGGCCTTTGAATTTATTTCAGTTAAAATTATAAAAGCTTATTGAGGCGAAACCAGGAAATGACCTAGTTGTTCATTCTTTCTTCTCTTTTCACTGTTCTTTATAATCATCCCTTGCTGGGAGTAGTTGACTCTCCCCAAAGGTAATGCAAATGTATTTTCTCATAGACTTTCTTTATAAGAAAACCGATAGTTAAGTACCAGGGTTTCAAATCCTCCATTATGCAGAAAGATGTGCAATATGCCTAGAAGCAACCTGGCTATTTGCCATTAAGATTTTAAAAGAAATTGTAATTCTAACAACCTGCTATTGATTAATCAATAGTTGGCAGTTTTTAAAAAATGCATTGTGCCTATTTTGTGCCAAAATATTAGACATAAAGAAAACCTTTGGAAATTAAAAAAAAAAAGCTTAGCAAAGCCGTATACTTTGTTAAAGTGTTGCTGTTCTGTCCTTGCCAGTGCACTCTCCCCACCCAGGGACCTCCCATGAAATTCATGTTTGAGGGCCTCATGCACCTTGGCACTACTAATACAGTTGCTTTGTCCATCATTGTGGCTACTTTGTTCTCTAAGTTCTTGACTATCATCCCTTTATTAAATGTTTGTGACTTTGTCATAACTATTTGGGAGATTTGGCTTTTGGTAGAGTAAAGCAAGTACGTAGTTTAAGATAGAGTCTGCCTGCCTCTTTATAATAGTTCTGTTGGGGTTTCCTGTTTGTGTGGGTGCATGCTGGTTGTGTATGTATGGGCTGCATTCCTTCTAGAATATTCCAAAGAAAAGAAATGTTGCTGGGGGTTGAGGAAATGTAGCAATTGGGCTGGGGCTTTGGAACGAGCCATCATTGTCAGCTCTTTTACTCCTTGCTGTTTCTCCACCCTCTCTGAGCCTCTGTATTGGGAAAGCAGACATACCGCCCAATAGAATTATCTTAAAGTTTCAATGAAATCATTTGTGAAAGTGCCAAGCAGATACTAGACAGTCAGTTTTATCTGTGATGTATAATAATATTCATGTGAACATTGTTAGAGTTCTTGGTCTTCTGTGCTGGCGCCCACAATCCCCAGCATTTCCATACCAGCTATGAGGAGCCTCACAAAGCAAACTGAAAGAGGAACAGAAGTAGAGAGAATGAGGGTGCAGCATGACAGAAGTGCCGTCCCGAGATGAACCCCCAGAAGAGTGGACACTTCCAGTCTGTTCTTGTGGACCTGCATACCTTCCCTGAGTTGTGGTAACCACTTGGGACCAGGACCCACACAAGCACAGTGCTGCTGCAATACCTGCAAGACGGTACTTCCCGATGGTCCTGCTGTGTTAGTTTCTGCAAGAAATTGCTACTTGAGAACACAATTGAGATTCAAATCCAGAAGGATGTTTACGTTATCAAAAAGGAATCTCAAGGAGAGTTTGATGATACTTTTCCAACTTCCACTTAGTCCCATGCGGAAATCGGTTGAGAAAAATCCCAAACAGCTGCCGAAGTACTCCTGAAGATCTCATTAGTCAAGGCCCAGGCATCTCTGCCTGGGAGTGCCCCTGTGTCCTTAGTAACCCCATGCACTCACAGTGGAAGACGTTGTAGGGTACCAGCTGGCAAACCTCCCCTGATGTGTGTGCTGCCCCACAAGTATTGATGAGCTAATGCAGCATTTCCCAAAATGTGTTCTTTGCAATGCTCCACTCAGAAAATACATCAATTAACACATATTTTGTTGTCAAGCCCTGTGTGATCCTTCTCTCTCTCTGCAGTATGCATAATGCATAGAAGCATAGTGAAGACTCAGAAAACTTTCAGCAAAGGAATTGTTTAAAAGTGTGATCCTAGAGTTTGAGATAACTTATTTTTTTGAAAATGGAATTCTTCCTAACATCCAACAGAATTAATGATCTGTGGAGCATGCTTTGTAAAATATACACACATATATGTGGAACACTTTTTAAAGCAGTGAGTCCAGTGGGGGCACCAGTTTTCTCAATACACGAAAATTATCTTCAACATTTTCCTGTGGTTTCATTTTGTGGGAAGCTCCTTTGTGGGTGAGATTGCTTTGTAATGAGATTTGGGGCTACTTTAGTGTAACTATACCCAGATGTTATGACTGACAGCTACTTGTTACTGTTTTTCCTTGAATTGACGAGGAGGTTACAGTAGTAACTAAAGGTGCCCAGAGGTACTGTTCTTCAGTGTGGGGTCCTTCTGTGTGGCTTTACTTGCTTTTTAGCCATTTCAGAAGATGTATAAGAGAAGACGTGGCTGGGGTGAAATCTGGGAAGTCACAGGAGGTTGGGGGTGGGAAGCTGTGAAGCCATACCATTATCAGAATGAGGGGGTCCTGGGGATGTTTAACCTGGGAAGTGCACAGTAGCTCTTTAAATATTTGAGGAGCTGCCATATACCAGGCAGAATATTTATTGAGCTTAATTATAGAGAGTAGCTCAGTAACAAAACAACTTTCTAGCTCTTCATTTCAGCAAAACCAAGATCAGTACCTTCCAGGTGTGAGTGCTTAAACCATGACAGGAACCATGACTTTTTTTTTTGAGACAGGGTCAGGGTTTTGCTCTGTTGCCCAGGTTGGAGTGTACTGGTGTGATCACAGCTCATTGCGGCCTCCATCTCCTGGGCTCAAGTGATCTTCCTTCCTCAGCCTCCCAAGTAGCTGGGATTGCAGGCATGAACTACCATGCCTGGCTAATTTTTGTATTTTTTATAGAGATGGGATTTCACCAGTCTGGTCTCGAACTTCCGCTCAAGCAGTCCGCCTGCTTTGGCCTCCCCAAATTCTGGGATTATAGGTGTGAGCTACCTTGCCTGGCCCTGTGACTTGCTAAAAGAGGCATTTTGGAAGGAATTCTTGTTTCTGTGACCCCTGACATCCCTTCTAATGCCAAGGGACTGTGCTTCTGACTCTGTGCTAAATGGAATACAGTGTGGCAGCATTCTCGTATCTTCATTTCCTTTCTCATTTGCTCATCACCCCAAATGGAGGTTATCTTGGCTGAGGGGCTCCTCCTTAAAGAGTCAGCTATCACTTTGAAGACATCTGCCTTGTTAATCATTATTATGGAGCATGCGAGTTTTCTGTGTTGAGATTTACATAGAAACTCTCCTGGACACACACTGCTGCCCCAACTACACACACAAAGTCAATATTCCATAGCCTGTATGATCTGTTGTTGCGAATATAATCTACCTCTTTTGTTAGTCTAGTTGTTGCTTACTAAAGAATCTGGTGGAAATCAAAGGTGAATTTGTACATCTCTAAATGTATGGTTTTCTGTATATAATAAGTAGTATATAATTAGATGTATTGATATGATATATATTAGTTATATGTTATATATAATCATATATAAAATCCTTAATTGTATTAGTTAATATAATTAATACTTTTACGTGGGCTGAATCCTGGGATACCAGGGACTACAAAAGATGGGATCCCTGCCCTCACTAAGCCTCCCTCATCTCTAACCTTCACAGCAGTCCTATAGGGTAAACATTAGCACTGACCCTACAAGTGCTCAAATAAACTTAGAAAAGTGTCTGCTCGAGGCCGTGTAGCTAGTGTGTTAGATTTTGTATTGAACTCAGACTTTGGGATTTGGGTCCCTGAACTTCTTCCATTTCACTGCCCTACCTCTTTTATTTATTTATTTATTTATTTATTTATTTATTTATATTTTTTTAGACAGCCTCACCCTATCACGCAGACTGGATTGTGGTGGCATGATCTCGGCTCACTGCAACCTCTGCCTCCTGGGTTTAAGCAATTCTCATGCGGCAGCCTCCTGAGTAGCTGGAATTACAGGTGTGTTCCACCATGCCTGGCTAATTTTGTATTCTTGGCAGAGATGGTT